AGCTTGAATAGAAATGTTTGTGTTTGGTCTGAGAACTCAATGTTTGTGTTTTCGTCTGAGAAATCAAGTCAAGTCAAAGTGACTTAACAAAGGTTAATGCAGTTCCAGAAGGTGTTCTTGATCGATTGCTATTTGAAACTAAAAGATCCAGGTATTAATGATTATTCAATATTGGCAGAGTCGAAATGTTGGAACATGACCTTTATGAGTTTGCACAACCTCTTTGTGTGTGTGGAGGTTTCCTTCGGTGCTCCGGCTCCCCCACCACTAAAACATAGGCTAGAACGGTAGAATGCTCCAGTTCTGGTCGTCTTGAGTCCTGACAAAGCAGAGCATCAACATCTGGAGATGGATTCCCAGGCACTGTGTGGTGACCTCTGCTCCTGACAGAGGCCCTAGTGGCCTAGTGGTGTTGCAGGATGGGTCAAATACCATTGATTCCTTTATTTGGGGACAGTAAAGTATACCTTAACTGATAACTGAATTAAGATGTGATGGCTGCGAATATATACATGGATTGATTACCAGAGCCTACGACTCAATGCCACACACATAGGTTAGGTTAGGTTAGGTTCTTCGTGAAAATGCATAGCATTTCAAATCATTCAAACAAATAATTCAAACATTTCCATGATCAGTCGAAATGTTGGAACACACACACAGGCCACATGCCACACACATGGATCATGGAATGCTTGAAGTTGTACAATATCAACAGGGCTCTAAGGGACTTCGTTGCAAACTCAGTGGGGATGTGTAAGACCACCTTTGAGGCAAATGGCAAGCCGCTCGCACAAGTGACCATCAAGGTTCTGCATAGGCCTGAACCCTCTGAGCCAAATAATTGACCAGATTGGCTATTGATACCGCCTCAGGAACGGAGCAAAGATCAGTCACCTCCTCTACATCGATGACATCAAGCTGTACGCTTGTACCAGACATCGACTCTCTGATCCAAACCACCAGGATCTACAGCCATGACATCGGGATGACTTGAGAAATGCAGCAGAATGGTTACTCGGAGAGGCAAGGTAGTCCACACAGGAGGGATGTCACTCCTAGAGGGAACAATAGCAGACTTTGAGGACAGCTACAAGTATCTTGTTATACCACAGGCAAATGGCAACCTCGAACAGGCAATGAGAAAAGTGGTAACTGCCAAATACCTCCAGCGAGTAAGGCAGGTCCTAAGAAGCCGACTCACTGGAAAGAGCAAGGCCCGGGCAAATAACAGCTACGCCCTGCCAGTGATCAGATACCCAGCTGGAATAATCAGGAGGCCAAAGGATGAGATTCAGACCACGGATGTTAAAACTCAAAAGCTCCTCACCATGCATGGCGGGTTCCATCCCAAATCCAGCACCCTGAGACTGTACGTAAGCCGTAAAGAAGGAGGCCGAGGACTAGTACGTGTGAGAGCCATGGATGAAAATGGATGACGTACTCAGTGAATGTCTCAGGCAGTGGTGAGATGGGAGGACAAGCCCCTTCACGGCATGTACCACCGGAGCAAAGCAGAAGTGGCTGATCTCAAGAAGTTCTACCAAAGCCTAGAAAGGGCTGGCCTACAGGACAGCACAGAGGAACTCATCATGACTGCACAGGAGCAGACCCTGAGCACCAGAGCGATAGAGGCCCAGTTAAACCACACCAGACAAGACCCAAGGTGTCGGTTGTGCAAAGAGGCACCTGAGACGATCCAACACATAACTGCAGGGTGCAAGATGCTGGCAGGGAAGGCCTACATGGAACGCCATAACCAAGTGGCTGGCATAGTGTACAGAAACATCTGTGCAGAGTATGGGCTGGAAACCCCAAGGTCTAAGTGGGAAACTCTTCCAAAGGTGGTGGAGAATGAGCGTGCGAAGATCCTGTGGGACTTCCAGATACAGACTGACCAAATGGTAATGGCAAACCAACTTGACATTGTGGTGGTAGACAAAGGGCAGAAGAAAGCCATGGTGGTGGACGTGGCAATTCCAAGCGATGGCAACGTCAGGAAAAAAGAACACGCAAAGCTTGAGAAATACCAAGGGCTCAGAGAGGAGCTGGAGAGGGCCTGGAGGGTAAAAGTGACAGTAGTGCCCGTGGTGATCGGTGCACTCGGGGCAGTGACCCCGAAGCTGGAAGAGTGGTTACAGCGGATCCCCGGAACAACCTCGGAAATCTCGGTCCAGAAATGTGCAGTGCTAGGAACAGCAAAGATACTGCGCAGAAGCCTCAAGCTCCCAGGCCTCTGGTAGAGGACCCGAGCTTAGAGAGGGATAACCGCCCGCGGAGAGCGATTTCTTTAAAATCTTTTATATATATGTAAACATATAAATATTGAATGTATTCTATCCAGTCCAGTACATTATCCCTATTAGTTATGTTACACAATTGTGGGAATATGTTTAGAACAATTAGTGAGAAATGTTGGCAGTAATTCTATTCAATAAATGTAATTACTAATTCAAGACCAAATAACACAACAAGAATTGAACATTAACATGAATTTAGCATGTTTTGAACACACACACACACACACACACACGCAGTCCCCATAATTGGACCCATTGATGCCACTGGAGCAGCCTTTGTGCTGCAAGGACCTGTCTCCAGTGACGCTTATTTAGTCAGGACGACCGGAGCTGAAGGATCTTACTCATGGTGATATGTGAAACTTATCACTTATTAGGGCTGGGCAATAAATCGAATTTAGGCAATTAAAAAATCGAATTTGTGAAAAATGTTAAAATTGAGAAATTGAATGAAGGATATTGTGAGAGCAGCACATGAATTATACTTGCAATATCAGCACAGTCTCTACCAGACTTTTATAATACGTATTGGGGGAAACAAATTAAAACATATTTTAAACTTGAATATTGAGGCAAAAGATCAAAACATGTGTTTAAAAGCAAAGTCTGTCTTCAGTGACTTTAATGAAAATCGATTTAAAATCGAAATCGTCCAAAGCAGGAAATAAAATTGAGATTTTACTTTTTTGCCATATCGCCCATCACTTATTATTCTGTATTTTCTGTAACTTACATCCTGTGTTAAAAGTGTCACTGTCTTCTTACATTCTTGAATCCATATGAATTATTTTTTGTTACAGATGCCAGAATAAACAGGGTGTACAACAACTATTACATTACAGTAAGAGGGAAGTGAAATGCACAGGGACAATAAAGTGTACGCTATATTTTCTTATTTTTTATATTTTGTTCATCTGAATAAACATGGCACAAAGGTTGTGTGCTGGTTTGTCCCGGTGCTGCATAGTTGTGTCAATATCAGATTATGTTTCAAAATGTGTTTTTCTTTCTCAAATATATATTCATTTTGAATGGTGTGCTGAAATGAGAAATATTTTGGATTTGCATATACTCAACTTTGACTGTGTTGATTTGAAACACTTTATCTTATAATGATTAATGTTACATTAAACCTGTTATGGTCTTGGATATATTTAGAATTGTGCTTAATTGTTATGTTTGTTGTATTTACAAGCAAAGGGATGATGTAGCTGTGCCAAATATATATACTATTTGGTTACATGATATGTTCATACGAGGTGACCTCATTTCACAAAAAAGTCTTTCCATTTTGGGATTTCAGGGAACACATTACGACCAATAATTGTCTAATCTTAGCTCCCTATCATTTACTAGCCCAATTCTGGGGGTGCAATTGTTTTACTATGTGTGCTTACAAAACGCTGTCCTGTTTAAGAGGTGGCAAAGAAAACTGAGCAGAAAGAACTCCAAACATTGTGCTTTGACAGCACTAACAGACTCAGAGGAGTAAAGCTATTTGAGGCCATTACACTTATAGTTCAAAGTGAGAGCTGTTTTTTCTTTGTGACATAGGGGTGACCCAAGTTAGTGATTTGCAGGCAATTCTTCCCATCAGTGGCTGACAGGTCCCTCTGCACCCCAGCAGCGTGCCATTACAGGGATAACTCACATTGTGGCTGCATGAGGTAATGACAGTGGCATTGGGAGAGGACTCCACGTGGACACAGAGCTGAGGCCGCAGGTGCAGACGAGTGCAGGTTAAGAACACTGAGGCACAGCATCATACTGCTACGGCCTCTCCGCTCTCTCCAAATCCTACTTTCGATCAAATGACAACAAATGAACCATACGTATGTCTGAGCCTTTGTTTCTGATGACAACAATTGTAATCCTGAACGCCTGAATTGTGCACAGTGAATCTTTTGCCATTCTGAAAAATGTTGCGTTTCGTTACCTAATGCCCCGGAGCCTGACAGATTCCAGCTAAATTGAGTAAAATAAAAATGTACACAAAGACAATGAAGCCTACTGTACATGCAATCAGTTATTCTTAAAAGAACACGCAAAGAAAACCAGAAATCCATATCATATTTTTTTCTTTACAAAAAAATATAAATCTATTTTGTGTAAGTGTTAAATACTATATGACATATGCATGGTGAATTCTTTCAAACTTGCTCATTACTAAGGCTTTCTGAGTGAAGTGTGTGGTGGCGGAGTGCAGCTGGCTGCATTGGACACTCTGAGTGTGGCCTGGCCCAGATGCTCCTCTTCTTGACCTTTAGATGCATGCAGTCAGAAGAACCATAAAATAAATTGCAATGGCAATAAAGCTGACAGTCATAGCCTTTTCAAAGAGTGTATGTTTTCAGTGTAGTTCTTGGTGCATGAAAACATCAAATTAGAGATATTTGGAGCGATATAGAAATGTACATGATGTGAACCTGTTTCTCCAATGAAACAAGGACACAGTGTGACAGAGAGGTGCCCGTGGTGTTGACAAGAAGGTAATGAGAGGTGCTGTCATGCAGATACCAGTTCCCATCAATGGATTTGAAAAGTGACATCAACATCAAGAATGAAACTGGCGTTGATGACCAGGGGAGGGCAGGCCGTATATAAAGGACGGAGCTCTCTCACGGAAAACGCACATCAACAAGTTGGACTTCTTCGCAACAAGGCCACCACCCTTTTTTCAACTATTGACACAGGAGTAAAATGGTATGTAAACAATTTTGTTATCATTGAAAATACGATTTGACCTTAAAACATTTTTGAATAGTTTTTCTATATTGTAATAATTATATTCAAAATATCTATCTATACTTTTAGTCACTCAGGGGAGTGTCATTGAAGCACTTGGGACTAGTGTTTTTGATTCTTCTTATGACCAGTTTGCAAGCAAAGGCTAAACCACTAAGGTAAAATATGATAGATACTTAGGAACATTCAAATGTAATTTTTTTAGCTTTAAGTTTTTTGTTTTTTTTCTGCAGAAAGAGAACAATAAGTGAAGTGCAGCTCATGCATAACGTTCAGGAGCACAAACAGGTGGGAGAGCGACAGGAGTGGCTCCAGGAGAAGCTGAAGGACATCATTGTTACAAGTGTCAGACCTCAACCTCTTCCACGTACAAAACTCAGGACCAGCAGTGTTTTAGGGACATAGATCATTCTTCTTTTATTTTGTTTATTTGTGTACTTCAGACTTGAAATGTTTACTTTTATTTAAGTTTCAGTTTTGTTTATTTTTTTTATCTATCTTTTTATCTATTTTATAAATATTTTTTAATGGACGGGTAGAATTACTGGAGCTGTTCTGTTTTATTTAGTCTTTTTTAAATGGACAATGTTTAAATGGAGTAGCTTAAAAGACATAACTAAAAATGATGTAAAACTAGAGTATATATATATACACATGTATATATGTAGACAAACTGTTTTTGCTGTTTTATTCATTATATAAATCATTATAAATTACTTACTTTTAATACATCCGGTGGAATAATATATTTAAGGGACAGTTTTGGAGGCGGCAGTGGTCTCAAAGTTCTGGGAGTCCTAGTGTTCATTATTTATCATTTTAATTGCAGCTTACAGATATTGTAATGCTTAACTTTTTCCCTAAAGACTCATCAAATAAGTAGTTAATTAATTAATTAATAATTAATTCAAACACTGTATAACAAACTGCCCTGACAAACGTAAATGTTCATAATATAAATTTGTCAAGAATGTCCTGTTTCAGGCTCCTTATTCTCACTCATATAAAATAATGTCTACAGAAGTCCACTCCACAATCCGATTGTCATTAATCATATCAACTCTTTTCTCTGAAGCCTCAGGCCTCTCGCTGCTTATTAACACAGCGTTCCCCTCATGTAAACTTGAGGAGAACATTTTGTTTGAAGAGACATGAGAGAAGAATGTCAGAGGCCATTTGGCATACTTTGGTGTAAAATATGGACCAGAGATGCAGTTTGTCAGTTTATCATGGACTGAACTTAAAACTTGATAGCACTGGCTTAAATTCTTCTATCACAAGTATACGACATGTTGCAATTGCAAAACAATTGATAAAATACTATAGAATACAGAAGAAGATGTGCCATAGGCATAATAAAAAAGTAAAAATGAAAAATAAACAGGAAATGATCATCAAAGAATTGAAACTTGTTCCGTAAAAGGCTTTGTAAAGGATGTCAACTCATGGAAGAGGGGGGCTTGCTGATGTCCAATGAGGCTGCTTTTACTGATGTTTGTTTCTATCTGATAATATACGACTGAAGAGTGTTGAAGATGGAACAAAGCAGGATAGCACATGCTGTGAGGAACTATCTTAAAATGTGAATGTACAATCAATGTGCTGTCATTGCAAAGAGGACTCGGAGTTGGAAAGTTATTCAAAAAGAAAGCATACAAATCACAATTGTTTTAATAATAATAATAATAATAATAATAATAATAATAAGAACAGTATGATCTCAAAGATCAAAACTGAACAGAATCAAAACAACATGAGAAGACGAAATGAGAAAGAAGAGCTTTGTTGGCTAATATGAAAAATGAGAATTAATTGATCAATGCTTTCTATGTGTGGATGAAATAACAGGTGGTGATCTAAATAACAATAATAATGTATTTTGCAAAAGGTTCTTTTTATTATTATTTTTTATATCCACAACATTTGTAAAGCGCTTTTTGACTCTGGGGAATGAAAGGCGCTATATAAATAAAGATGACTTCCTTACTACTAAGCAAATTTATTTACCACACTTATATACACACTTTAGGAAAGCTTTGCAATGGAGAAGGGATCATGTAACTCAGTCAATATCTGTTATATTTGTATAGGAGGTTCATTTTCTTAATCATGCAACAGGAGCACATGAAGAACCTGCACTGACTATTTCCTACAGTAGGTGGCGGTATTGCACTTTCATTGTCGATAATGGCCACAGGTTCTGGCAGAAGAAGAGGACCGTTGTTTTGATCAGAGGCTACACGGTTTGCCGACAGTTTTGGTAAGTGAGATTTAACTGTTAGGTTTCATGTCCAGAGCTTATATATTCGTTAATAAAACCTTAATAATCTAACTTTAAAGGTGTGACTAATGTGTGGAGGATTAGTACTATAACAGTATCCGTCTTTATTTTATTGTAGTTTTGAATACTGGGTTAGCTACATGCTAACTGCTAATGTAACGCTAGCGTGTCCGTGCTAAACATGAATCTAATGTGTTAACGGCTAACAAACAAACGACATAAAACAGGCGGAAACCTGTGGCACTGATTCATGAGTGCTTGTTTGATTTGCCTTATACTCCTTTGTGTAACAATATAAACATCAGAACGGATCGTGCTTATTGACTTGTTAATATCGCTATCAAGCAGATTATGGACAGTAAAAGATCCAGACGGGACCGCCAGTTGTTCGGGTGATGGCAGAGCGTCTGCAAACATATGACAGCAACTCCAGCGATACCGACAACTGGGATCGAACAGAAACAAGCCGACCTCGTAAGCTCTGTAAACATCTGAGGTGAGCCACAACACGTCAGTGCTTTGTGCTGCAGTGTTAGTTTTGAAGCGTGAATCCCACTAAGGCCTGAATACCAATGATTATAAATAGTTTATTTTTGGAATATGCCAAAACTTTACCGCTCAAATTAGTTGAAACCTTTGCTTCCTCCAACGGTGGGAGAATCCTGATGATCCGGTGTGAGCTGATGTTTATTAAGTAACACGTTTTCAAAATATGTTAGAACTCTAAACAATGTTTAACAATATTTTGAAAGCAGCAGTCAGGCTCGAGCATCCAGAGTGGAGGCTGAACAGAGGAAGATGAGCTTGCATGGTGCAAGTGGGGGCAGTGATCGCTCAAGAGACCGCCGCCGCTCCAGTGACCGCTCTCGGGATTCTTCACACGAGAGAGAACTCACTCCATGCATTCGTAACGTCGCCTCTCCTACACGCCAACACAACACTGGTCAGTGTGTTTGTTTCACAATTTCACAATTACAGTTAATGTAACATGTATCGGCTCCATGTTAGACACCATTTTAAATCTAAGTATCCAGTTTGGCAGAGTCTGGGTTTTGTCGTGGTACTTTTCCACAACATTTAAGATTGGGTCTGCTGCGATCCACTGTTTTCTTCTGCTCTGTATTTTGGAAGAGCAGGAAAATTATATTGGAAGCGAATAAGCGATATATCTGGCTAGTTGATCTTGTCTGTCGATCACGCCCACTGGTAAACCGCAGAGATCACACTCCCTTCCAGACTACGGGACTTTATAAAAGATTTTTAACAAGCATGTTGTCTAGCTGACAATGGCAAATTTGAAAACAAGTTTTTTGTTAAATCTTGTGGTTCTGGCTGGTCAGGCAACATTATCTCAACTTCTGCTCTGTGAAATATAAACCAATTTGACTGATGTTTTTTGACATTTTCCAGCCCCCGCGGCCATTTTGAATCACCCCATGAGAGCCCAATTTTTGGCCCATTAGTTAGAACGGCGGAGACAGGTGTGACTACATCCGTAAATATATACAGTCTATGGTCCTATCACGGCTATAAGGAAGCGGGTTGCCATCTTTGCAGTCCGGCTCCATGCCCGGTGACCCATGATGACTCATTGCTCATTGGCGTATGCTTGCAACATGGAGGCAAAAATATTAGCGGAAGTGACACATTTTGGTTTTTGCTCAGCAAAAATATAACAATTCACATAAAAAGATAATGGAGAGTCGAGGTTAGATTGTATTGAGGCGCAATTAAAGTTAAGAATGCTTTTTTTGTCTGATTTTATTTTGTTTTATTTAACAAAATAGTGGGTTCTGTTTTTTTTTTAACGGGATAAAATGCAAAATAATTCTCATTTGGTCACAAAAAATAATTATTTGAAAACTCACTGTGTGAATTAAATAATGTAAATGAGTAAAACTAACTAAACAGAAGACACATTGACTATCATTCTGCAGTCCTTCAACATTGGCATCAGTATCGGCTTTAAAAACTCATCAATCAGTAAAATATCTACCACGTGATTGTCTGACAGTATTTTTCACAGAAATTGATCTTTTAAATACGATAAGATAGACTTTATTGATCTCACCACAGGAGAAATTTACATGTCACATTTGTCATGGATAGAATCACTCAAGATTTGTCCAAAAGAAATAAGTGTGCAAATATATAAAAGGCATCATGCTTGTGTACTTTCTTAACCTTGTTCTAATCAGGGTTGTACTGTGCTTCAGATCGAGATAGTGGACCTTCATCTCGGCCAAGTAGTCCTCGACCCCAGCGAATATCTCCCAGTGGCTCCAGCAGCAGTGGCATTATGAGCAGTCGCAACAGCAGTTTGTCCAGCACTGACGGCACTTTCAAAAGTTTAGGGGTCGGAGAAATGGTATTCGTCTATGAGAACCCCAAAGAGGGAGGGACGAGCACCGTTGTTGGAAACCGAAACCTGCGCTCGTCTGAAAGAGTCACTCTGATTGTAGACAACACGCGCTTTGTTGTTGACCCCTCCATTTTCACGGCACAACCCAATACAATGTTGGGCAGGTATGACATTAAACCATTTTTTACTTTAATCACTAAATTGTCCAAATTACTATGATGTATGTTTCATCCAGGATGTTTGGATCCGGACGGGAGCATAATTTCACAAGGCCAAATGACAAAGGGGAGTATGAGGTCGCAGAAGGCATCAGTTCCACAGTTTTCCGAGCCATTCTGGTACGTCACAATTGTATAGGGAAACTGGACAATGCTAAAGAATAGTACTTAACTTAATTAACAGACTAGTTCTTCATACTGTATACACTAAATTGCATGTCGTTTACGTGCCAATTTTCACCCCTTCAACAGGATTATTACAAATCTGGACTAATTCGCTGCCCCGATGGCATTTCCATCCCTGAGTTGAGAGAAGCATGTGACTATCTATGCATCTCCTTTGACTACAGCACCATCAAATGCAGAGACCTCAGTGCGTATCTCTCTGTTGACGAGTGATGTCAGATTTGTGTTATTCATATTTACTGTTTTTGGTCTAATATTAGGTGCCCTGATGCATGAGCTTTCAAATGACGGAGCTCGAAGACAATTTGAGTTTTATCTTGAAGAAATGGTTCTTCCTCTAATGGTTGCCAGTGCCCAAAACGGCGAAAGAGAATGTCATATTGTGGTCTTAACTGATGACGATGTGGTGGACTGGGATGAAGAGTATCCTCCACAAATGGGTGAAGAGTATTCACAAAGTAAGTATTGGGGTGTGTTTTTTGTGTGTGTGTGTAAAGTTATTCTAACTGCTTTTGTATTTGCAGTAATTTACAGCACAAAACTGTACAGGTTTTTCAAGTACATAGAGAATCGCGATGTTGCCAAATCAGTCTTAAAAGAAAGAGGATTAAAGAAAATACGACTTGGAATTGAAGGTATAGTCATGGTATTATAAATGCCATATTTTATTTACAACTTAAATATAGATATTGCATTACATCAGCAGCTACAAAGACTAACTATTTCTATATTTGGCAGGATACCCTACTTATAAAGAAAAGGTGAAAAAGCGTCCAGGTGGACGCCCGGAGGTCATCTACAACTATGTGCAAAGGCCTTTTATCCGCATGTCATGGGAAAAGGAGGAGGGGAAAAGTCGTCATGTGGACTTCCAGTGTGTTAAGTCCAAGTCTATCACAAATCTGGCAGCTGCTGCAGCAGATATCCCTCAAGACCAGCTTGTGATGCACCCTGGCCCACAAGTCGATGAACTTGACATTCTCCCAAACCACCCGCCCAGTGGGAACCACTACAGCAACAACTACAGCAACGAGCCTGACCCTGATGCACCGTCACCTGCGGTCTGAAAACATGCTCCTCTCTCCTCCAGACCACTCCCAGCATGCTGCAGCATGGACGCCATAGGGGGCGCCATAACCATATTGCCTTGACACCTTCTTTGCAGCCTTAGAGCCTCAAGAACATGATTGACAGTAGAAAAGGTCTGAAGTGGGCCATGAGACGAAAGAAGGAATTCACTGTAATTTTCATAATGTTATTATTATTGGTTTTTTTTTTTTTTACTTGACCAAAGGATTTATTTTTCTGTTTGGACTACAGTAAACAAAATATATATAATGTTATTATTTAAAATGCTATTTTATCTTAATTAGGTTGATTTTGCTGAGCACAGTTCAGCACATGTTTATTTGTTTCTCATTTTTCTATTTCTCTTTGTTTAACTGATTGGATAAATTTTTATTCTGGTGTGGCCTTTTAATACATTGGGGAAGAAATTGACTATTTATGGAAACTAAGCAACAGATTGTCAACTGTTACCATTTAGTGTTATGATCTCCAGATGTTTTTATCTTGTTCTATGGTCTGTTCACACCGGGTCCGATAAGTGATGTTTTGCTCCACCCACAGCCATTATTAAGAAAAGCACTAGGCTGTTGTGGTAAGATACTTGTGTGAAGCTTGAAAACTTGTTGATAAATACAATTAAATAAAAGGTCTTCAAAAGTTTATCAATTTATGGTTTAATTGTCTGGTCTTATCATTAGAGTAAATTGTTCAGTGTGATGTCTGTTATGTCATATCTCAACCATCTTAACTGACGCATGGAATATATTATTTAATTTGTGAACAATTGTACACATTTCACTAACAAATAACAAATGTCCAACCATCTGTTCATTTTCTTCCGCTTCATCCGTTGCCAGGCTGCAGAGACACCCAGACCTCCCTATACCAACATGTCGGACCACTTCATTGAAAATGAGCAGAAATAGAAGGCCATGATATGTGGGTAGTTTTAACTGGTCCTGTCGTATATGATATATACAGTGCCTTGTGAATGTGTCTATACAGCTTGAAATATTTGCACATTTATCACCACAAAGATAAACAGTTTATTTTATGTTTTACTGAAAGACCACAACAAAATGGCACAACTGTGAAGTGAATGCATATTTTCTTTTTTTTATCTGCAAGAGTGGGTTTTGCGTTAGCGACTTTACAGCGTAATTCTGAGTGCGTAAAATGGCCTTTGATAGTGTGCCATCTCCTTTATCAAATATGGGGGTGGCTGCCTCATGTCATGCTTTTCTTCAGCAGGGACAGGGAATGGTACAAGGGTTTATTGGAGGATTAGGAAAATGACCGGACAATCTTGAAAAAAAGCTGCTGGAGTCTGGCAAAACGTTTGATGTGGGTGGATGCTTATCTAATGCCAGAGCTATTTCCCTGAACGTAAACACTACATACAATAGAAGGATTTCAAACAAAACACATTCATGTGTTAGATTTCAGTCAAAAATAAAGTAAAAATCTATGGAAACTGCTGTTCACGAACACACAGTAGAATCAAACTAGCTACTCTAACTGTAGCTATAGTCCTTTTTACTGAAGTAAATGATCCAATGTATATTTGATTTTCATTCGAGCAGAAATTTTACAATCATAAGTATTTACAATATTTACATTCCTTAGTTTACATGGCTTTTTATACATGTTGCCTTCTGTGTTTACAGTATATACATGCAAATATCAAAAAATAACAATCAAGCAACAATATTATCCCTAGATTCAGCATTTTTTGTAAATCTACAATATCATTATGTATTTACAAATGCATTTTTATTTACAATTTATCAGCTCGAAATGGAGTGGGAAGGAAGTAAAAGCTTGTAGACTCCGACCCCATAAACATAATTGAAATACATGCAAGAATTTTGTTACTTAGCATTGAATATATATATTTATAATAATTTGTTTTAATAATCTGTCATGTACAGTGTGATTTAACACTTAAATAAAGCTAAATCTGAAACAATGATCATTGTGCCCCAGCAGGGCCCAGCGCCCCAACCAGTCGTAGTCACAAGAAGCAGCCACCACAACAGTAGACCAATCAGGCAGAGGACTGATGGTCCATCAGACAGCAGGCTCCAACGACACCATGAGCAACCACCTCACTGGTCATTCATATCATTGTTTTATTTTTTCAGATGAAAAGGCATGTAATCAATTCTACAGAGTTTCTATATCTAGAAACTCATTTATTCACATCTCTGGCAAGAAGTACTGCTGCCCGGTGCCACTAGGGCGGGGTCATGGCCCTGGCTTAAATGTTGGCTTTCACACAGAGGGCCCTACAGCAAAAACTGGTTATCCCCCCTTTGCTTCATGGAGACGGTGCCCCCCCTCGTTTCCTTCACCTTCAGACCTCTGACATTACTTTAACTTGTAGTTATAATAATCTGCTCTCTTCATTCAGTTTATTTTATTCGTCCCACTGTGGGACGAATAAAGGAACTCTTATCTTAAAAGAGTATCCATTATTAGGTTATATCTTTCTGTTTGGTTTTCTTTCAAATATTTTGTGTGCATTTTATTGCCATCGCTCTCATTTTAAACCTGGACAGAGGCCTTGTTCAGCTCTGTTCCCACTCTTACTGGGCTTGTCATTGGGGCATTAACTGTTCAGAGTGCCAGGTTCTGTGGCCGGGTGGCATATGTGACCAGCCTGTCTCTGGTACAAGCTCAAAGGCCCTGGTGCTGCAGCTTGATCAGGAGTCAGGAAGACATACTTCCCCTGGATGATTTGGTGCATCGAACCAGCGAGGTTCTTGCTGTGCAGCATATGTGTTTTTGTCCTGTCAGAGTGATATGAAAGGACAAATAAGATGACCTACATAACTAGTGTAAACCAATCCTATTGTGTGAAAGGCCAAACACTCCCATTGGATGATTAGCAGTCAATTCAAGTCATAACCCTGCAACAAGATCTTGTGTTTTTGCCCCTGAGGAGAGTCTGTTCAGAGAGGAGGAAGAGAGAGGGGAAGCTCAGCAACACCCAGCAATAAAACATGTAAACACCACCAAATTACAATGGTTTCCAATGAAACAGCCACTTCAAAGATGTGAACATTACTCTTGATCTCAAGGGATCACAAACCTGGTTGTGGTGATCCTATTTTTTCATACCACCAATTTTGTACTATGTGTTTGTGTATTGCAACATTTTGGCCAATTAACAGGAGATCTTTCAGAGTTCAACCAAGAACATTTAGTGCAGGTGATCTGTAATATTATGTCGGACTAACAGATGTGGGACTTTCTTGGTTGACACATCTCTGCAACATTGTGTGGTGATCAGGCACTGTTCTTTTGGCCTGGCAGGCCTGCCAGGCCAAAAGAAAGGGGGCTGGAGGGTTTGTTCCAATTGTAACGGGATCGCACTCCTCAGCCTCCAAGGTAAGGCCTACTTCCAGGTTCTGGAGACAGACCGATAATATATTCTCAGATTCAGGAGGAACACAGCTCTATACCCTTCATTGGGTACTCGAGGGATCATAGGAGTTTGTGCGACCGGTCCCAGGGGATTCTTGTTTTGGCGGTAGACTTTCGCCTTTGTCAGAGGTGACACATGATGCTGTGACGTGTCTCTTAACAGCTATTGTTGCCGAATGCGGCCAGTTCGACAGATCTCACAGATCCGTCAGACTGACTGCGCCCCCCCGCTGTGTTGTGGTTTCTGGAGAAGGGAGCCAAGGTGAAAGCCCCTTCGTCTATGTTGATGGTCCGTGTGCCCCGCTTCCTGAATTCCATCGCGACTCGTATTCATCTATTATATTTATGTTTTTCTGCTTCTTTACATTTTTTGTCTTAATAAAACATTCTAAACCTTTAAAATAAGAAGACAAAACCTTTTACATTTCATAAAATTATTGCACTTGTGTACCATATGAAAACAAGATACAGTAATTGCTGGGCATTTGGCATCAAAATTGGAGGCAATGGTGCTTGATTGAAAAAAGGTTCCTTGCCTTCTCCAGGTGGGTGGAGAGGTCCTTCTTCAAGTGGAGGAGTTCAAGTATCTCGGGGACCTTCACGAGTGAGGGAAGGATGATGCATGAGACTGACAGGCGGATCTTTGCAGCGCATGCAGTGAAAAGGTTGTTGTATCTGACCGTTGTGGTGAAGAGGGAGCTGAGCCAAAAGCCAAAGCTCTCCATTTACCCTCACCTATGGTAATGAGCCTTGGGTTATGACCAAAAGAGGGATGTAACCCCACACAATAAGACAGTGATGTTTAGTTTTGCATAGTAAACACTTCACCATGTTCCACAGACAAAAGAGTGGAATGTGTCCTGTGGGATTTCACTGCTCCTCAATGATACAATTGGATCTTTCTTTACCAGGTCACAACAATGAATGCAGTGAATATGTCATGTACTTTCACAAACCTGCAGAAGCATTATTGAGCCTGTCAAAGTGTTCTTTTGCTATGAGTTCATTCACGATTACTAAATATTGCATGGGTGTGGCTTTTTCTGTTCTTTTGGTTGTTTGTTGAATACTTGTTGAGTCCTTTACCTTTTTTAACTGTCCATCTGGGATTCTGACTTAGTATGAGAGCTCCTGTGGGTGTAAAACAATGGACTGAGTCAGGATAAAACATGGAGAGGCAGCTTTACAGATTAATGCAGTTAAGACATCTTCCTAAAAATGTGAAACAGGCTTCTACAATGTTCAAATCCAGGTTAAAAACATTTCTGATTAGCTGTGCATGCAACCGAAATATTTTTTCGTCACACTATTTATGATTTGAATGCATTGTGTGATTTCTTTGTTTCTTTTCTTGTTTTGTCAGTCACTTTTACACTGTAAAAACGAAAAAGTTAGTTCAACTCAAAATTTCAAGGTAACTGGCTGCACGGGACTTTTGAATTGAAGGCATCAATTTAATTCTTTACGTTTCGAAGAACTACAATCATTAAGTTGTGTCAGCTACGTGTTTCTAGTTCTGCCAACTACGTTTTTGTAATTCAAGTTACTGGAACTTTCAAGTCTGTAAAAACTTACAATTTTAAGTTCAGATTACAGTCCCCTGCAATAACTTACTATTTTGAGTTTAAATTAGCCCCCACATTAAATCATCCTGTTTCATCCTCATGTGTATTTATATAGCACTTTTACAGGCCAAGGTCACTTTGGTAGGTGAAACCGGAGCACCCGGAGGAAACCTATGCAGACACAGAGAAAATACAAATTAAACTCTGAAATGTCCTGTTCTGACCAGTATTTGAACCCAGGTCCTTTTTGCCAAGAAGCGAATGCTATCCACTCAGCCACCGCTAAAGTGTCCTGATCATCACCAATCCTTTCTGTTGGACACTAACTGTCCAACAAGACCCTCCTGCATCGACAAGGAAAAACTCTTAAAAAACACAGTGGGAAAACCTTGGGGAGAACTAGGGAAACCCACAGGGAGGGAGACCCATTTGACCCATTTGAGAAAGGTCCTAGACAGGCTAATGATCTAGGTCCTAAGCTAGCTACAGAACGTGGACCAGTGGCCGGGTAAAAACCGTCCAGCTCTAGTAGTCCAGACCAAACCAAGCAAATGCTGAGTACTACTACTGCTGGTGGCTTGATAAACTAACCAATAAAGCCATTTGAACACCAACCGACTGATTGTATGGAAAACAATAGGCTTCAGAACACCTGTAACTTGGTACACTTGGGAACCATGGCGTGATCTATTATGTTTTGCCAGACTATATGAAGCGTTGTGTTTCTGACACTGTATATGCTGAGAAACTACTAAGTCATTTTCAATACAATAATTAGAGAACGAGCCTACATTAAGCACTGTAATATATATAAGTCTGTGGCTTTCTCACAGTTCTGGCACTAACAAAAGGTGACTTGATACATCTGTCTTGACTGGTTTATCATCCAAGAAAATAAATGCATAATGCGGTATCATTTTTACTGAAACTGTTATTGTAATGTAACTATCCTTTTTACTGTATAGTCATTGACACTATGCCAAAGAGATGGCTGGATATGTGGTCAACTAATATATAATAATCCTTCTTAAACCGACATACTTGAATGTTCCTGTCCAAAGAAAACCTGAGAAGAATACATATTGTTGTATAATGAGTAAGCCAAACATGAACGAGACCTTATTTGGGTTTGTTTACTTTATCACTAATTTTCAGTGAGGTTTTTTTTCTTTGCTTTGGATTTTTGCAGTTTTGTTTTGTGCATATTGATTATCGAATATAAATTGTTGAAAGATTTTTTTCTGGTCTGATTATTTTAAAATAATTGCTGCTTTATATTGTCATCCCACTACTGTCTGATCCAGATAAACTATAGTTTCTATGGCCTGTTAAAGGGACTGTGATGTTTTTGGAAACATAACTGAGACACTAAGCAAGCAAAGAGCCAATCAGGAGCTGCTCTGTTTCCGCTCCTCACATGGGCATTAGCAGTTCAGAGCATGGATTTATAATAATAACGGTTCAGTGCCAGCTTCTCTGGCCTTGTAACGTATGTGACCAGCCCGTTTATTACAGTTCATGCTCCACAGATAGGGCCTTTGAATAGTTTCCGTTAATTTATGGTTATTCAAACCCATCCATTTTCAATAAATGGGTTTGAAACTAAATGTCTTTAATTTTCAAACCCATTCATTTGAAATTTGTCCAAACACTCTGTGTGTGCCAAACTGTTGTTGTGTCCTTAAGCGAGGTATTTCCCCCACATTGCCCAGAATGAATCTGGTGTGTGCCCAGAGTGGATGGTGGTGGTCAGAGGGGCTGATGGCACATACTGTGCCTCGCTTCTGTCAGTGTGCCCCAGGGCAGTTGTGGCTGATTATTCATTAAAAAAGCACAAGATACCTTTCAACATAGCTGTTTTAAATATTGTTTTATTTTTTAAACGAATTTCTGTTTTATTTTATTTTTTCTAAGTTATGCTTGCTCTTGTTTGCAAATGTACAGTCTGATTACACCACGGCCTCCCACTGAGCTGGGTCTGAGTCAAGGCTATGCAGGGAGCTCAGGCCCGTGTCTGAGTCATCATCATTCAGGTGGTGCACTTTGGAGAGTCCCCTGGCCTGCTCTACCCACTCAGTCTGAACGTCATAATTGTCCACTCTGGGTCTTCCTGTTCCCACTGAGCTCTGCACGTCTGTTAAATCCAGAGCGTTCACTTCCTGCAGTAACTCTACTAGTTCCTGCATTCTTGTGGTATATTTGTCCTCGAATATCTTTAGATCTCCTCTAACAGCCCCCAAGTCTGTGTCCAGGCGCAGGCCGATGTACCAGCTGGCTTCTAGTTGAGTTTTGAGCCGCTCCTCCTCCTCCTCCTCCATCAGTGGTCCATGCAGATGCACCTGCCGCTGCATCCAGCTCGACTGCAGCTCCTGCTGGATCTGCGCCCTCACTCTGTCAATCTGAGCTTCACTCTCACGGATCTCCTCTTGGAGCCTCCCGACAGCCTCACATGTTGCTACGTAGTCTTCAAACAGTGTGATCTGATTTGAGCACAACTTCTCTGCTTTTACCGTCTCGTTGTCGTTGTTCTCGAGGTACGTGTCCTGGACGTAGTTGGCTCCGTGGCGCTGGACCCGCTCCAGATGCACTTTGGCCTCGTACAGCTCTACAGCTGTGTCCAGCTCCTGGAGTCTGTGCACCTGTTGTCTGATGGTGTGGTCCTGGGACAGCACCAAGTGCACCAAAGTCTCCATTCTTTCAGCGCACGATGCATCCTTGCGCACACGCCTCTTGTTTATTTTCTCCAGTTTTCTGAAAGCTTTTCTTACAATGCGTCGTTGCTTCTCGGGACAGACTCCTGAAGCAGCGGTGGTCCCACTGGTCACGCACTCGCTCTGCTCGCTGCGCACCACTCGAGCCTCTGCGCTCCGGGGAGCGTGACTGGGGAGGGACGCATCGCACTTCACCAGTACAAACTTTACGTCTTTCTGCTCCTGGTCCCATGCGAGCCAAAGCCGCCAGATCTTTGTTTTGTTTGGGAGAACTCTCTCAAAGCCCCTCCATTTCTCCACAATGCAGTAGGACTGCGGTGCGTGGTAAAGTCCCATCTGTGGGTCCTGATCCGTCAGCAGGACTTGGATGACATCTGCACAGCTCGTCCGTTTGGATAAGCCCAGCACAAGCTTCTCTTCGCGGCAAACCCACACGGATATGCAGTTTCCCTCCGTCATCGTGGTTGTACCTCTGCCTGTCATTCTGCTCTGATCACAAACACTTCAGACTGAGTGACGGAAACTTCTCAACTCCTCATATCGCTGTGGTCACGTGATTCATTACGCCAGTCATGTGGAAAATACAATCGCCACACGTTTGATTAAGATTTTATGTTTTATTATGATTTAAGGAGAGAAAAAACTAATCCAACCAAATGGAACCACTGTATTGGAATATTGTAAATGTTTAACATTTGAATGTGTTTAGGCTGATTTGAACTACGGTCGAATCGCCTGTTTACAGATTTGTTTAAATTATTATTATTATCATACACTGCCCCCAAAATACATTAAAAAAAATGCAAAAAAATATACATGTCCTGTTGTTAGTATAGGCTGTTTATCTGTTACTTTTATAAGCGCTCTGCTGCCAAACCCGCGCTTGAGAAAGGATTGGTGACTTCTTGTGTAGTGTCTCCCTCTTGTGCCCACTCACGGGAGGACAAAGTTCATTTTCGGCTCTTGCTTTCGTATTGACTCATGTCACAATTGCAAAAAGACGCAGCACACACACGACATTACACTTTTTTCAATGACAATTTCTTTATGACAATGTTGTACGATGGGCTTACATACAAATTACATATAAAGCTACAAAATATTTAACAATATCAACAAGGTATATTATGAAGTAGAGACCAGATCAAATTCAACATTAACAAGGCAATGTCTTTGTTTATACTGTATTATACAAAAACACAGCATGTGCCACCAAAACTGCATATATTCAAAAGTACTCATCGAAAAAGAATCATAGTTGGGCACATTTCTTCTGCAAGTTAAAATAGTTTTAAATATTTCATCCAATAACCAGTAATACCAATAAATATAAAGAACACTATCAAACTACCTCTAAATGATTGTACATGTGTTTGAAATTATGCTTTAAGAGTGCCAGGAGTGCAGAGGGCTGCATGCCTCTATTTAGCGTTTTTTTACTTTTATTTAAAAAAACAAACGGAATGGGTTTTCAGCATACAAAACGTAACACAAGTACAACAAATACAATCAACACAAATAAAACATGAACATATAAAAGTACAGAAAAGACCGATCCAGCAGTGTTCACAAAACACTGAAAAACACCGAACATTTTACTGCACAAAAGACTGTCTCTGGCCTTCGATGGGTTTTCTCATATGAAGCTGTATTTATAAAACACAAACACAGTATTAACCAATGGCCTCATCCACATTGCACACCAGTTTGTATGTTTAATGGCTTTAGTTAGCACAACATTTGCACCTAAATTGATGTATATAGTATACTTCTTCACTTTGGAGAATAAAAAGGTAGTATATTCCATTGCCTCTTAAAACACTTGAACCGGCAAGTGTCCGCACACTCCACCCGTGATCGTACCACACACTCTGCTGCTATATTTTAACAACAATATTTCTAGTTGCAGGACCACCCTATAAAATTACCTAAGAAAACGAGTGCTTGATAAGTACTGTATATTACAAAGCACATTCTCTCAATAAATATAACCAATTTCAATCAATATGAGCCTAATGTCATTCAATTCTAATTTTTCAATGTGTATATGGTCTGTAATAAAGCATGTAGGCATTAGAGAGAAAATGCTAATTTTTATCTCTTTTTTGATTAACATTACAAATTAAATCAACAACGGGAGATGATACACATTATCACTAATTATGGAGGATGCACAATTGAACGAATGCGACCTGTAGTAGAATAAAAATAAGTTGTTGTTGCAGCATAAGTACAGATAGGAACAGGGCATATTCTTCAAACAGTCCTAAATAAAATCCCATTCACCAAGATTGGAAAAAAATGAGTGAGAAAGAAATCTATAGGAATTAGCAACAACTGAGAACGGCACAATATTATTTTCTCTGCGTAGCTCGACTAAGAGGTACTGATTTGTGCGCTACTATTTAGCACTACGTAATTCAGATTCAACACATCCAGAGCAATACAAAAGCAAGAAACATTAAGTGGAGCAAATCGGGAGGCCAACAGAACCAGGCGAAGCACAGGTACAGAGAGTGTGGACTACATCAGTGAAGTGAGTGAACTGAATTGTTGCTTACAGAATAACATTACACATAGTAAAGTTGAGCCAATTTGACTGCAGCATCTCCTACATGTCGTGCTATATGTCTGAGCACGTGACGTAAACTGTAAAATGTGCTATTATTGACTGTTTTGAGTATAGTGTGTGAAAAAGGCATTGTGGTGATTGATGCCACTGGTGATTCTGGTCCATTCGTCTGTCCTGATTTGTTTCAGGTTGATAGTCCCGTAACCAAAGGCACTTCCTGCTACCATACAGGACATACTGGTGTGTCTCAGGCTGTTTCTGTATCCTACTTGCAAATGATGGATCTTGTCCTCACAGTGCAGGTTTGTTGTTGTTTGTATCACTATTACAGATTCTGCCTTCATTTCAAACTGATAATGGAGCCTGGACTACGACTGTTGTAACACCACCACTCGTGAAATAGTGAGGGCACTGCATTTAAGGCACTGTACTTGTTACCTTTGGCAATTTTTTTGTTTTTATGTCAATGCACTTATTCATCATTGTGGAGGCATGTTTGGTACCTGCGAAGGCCACAAATAAACATGAGCACATTGTGGTTGAAGTACTAAAGTCACCACTGTATACTGCTCAGGGTGGTAAACAGTGAAATGGCCCTGAAGTGTTCATTTCCATGAGACAACAGATACTGTAGACCTGACTTAGGCAAGCTCTAGTGATGCACTATTCTGTACATCTACAGAAGTGCATATACATGTTTGTTGTGTGTCAAAAACACAATTTACACTTGATATCGTTTGTAACATTGATTGAGGATTGTAAACAAGTTTTAAACCGGTTTAAAATGTGATTTCTAACTTTATGTCTGTGGTTACATTTTAAAGAGATCCCTTGTAACTTTGTAAGCTGTAATGTTAAGGGCAAGTGCCTAAAGAACCTCACATTTTCCACAGTGCATTCCTGACATGCTTCAACATGTGATGAAATGTCAGAAAAACTGCCTGATTTGTATTTTTTAAGTCATGGGATTTGTTTTTGTGACAACTCTATTATCTTTGGGAAATCTATTGGCAGCTGTGTATTTCAGTTTGAGTTTAAAAACAATGATTATTAGATAACACAGAATTACTAAAACCACATAGAGCACATAAACAGGTTTTCCTTGTACATATAAAATAGCAAACATCTGAGAACATTTTCAATGATCATACTCAACATACTGAGAAAACAACAATATTGCACTTCACAGCAGCGATCAAATACAAAACCAACAACTGAAGTCACCCAAATCAAAAAGAAACAAAAATAGGTAGGCAGGACTTTTGTGGAGGCACTGGCCCAAATGTCTATAAAAGCGGTGCTCACTCACTCCTTCACTAGTCTGTAAAGATGATGCTGAGCTCCATGTTCACTGTTGGACACTTCAAACACACACGCCATGCACAGCAGTGTCTCCTGCGTTTCCCTGTTCGTCACCACCTGAAACACAATTCCTACTTATTATGCGCTGAGCCTTTATCAATAAAACATGCAACTTATGCTGGGATCATGAGTATATGACATGTGGTGCAGTTAAGGTACCACATGTCATATACTGTGGTATATGACATGGTACCAGCACCTGTCCTTCTCCTAACCCAGCCACACCGGACCATTACCATCCAGGACAGCTTTGAAATATACTGAAGATGGAAAGTAATTTGTCTATAGTGGATTTCTAAGCAAACTTCCTCTACCAAAAAGTAAAATGACACAAGACCTCATGTGACGTCTCAATCTAATACAGAGGTCCCCGGCCCTTTTATCCCTCCCGTCTCCTGCTGATAATGCGTCTTCTCACACTGTGTCTCATCCCATGAGGAATTGCAGGAATGTCGGACCAGTCACACATGAGTTTGGATGAATCCACCACTCATTAAAAGGCTGTAGTTACCATTAAGATGGTGAAGTTCTCCAGCACACTGTTCATCATGTATTTCTCCGGCAAATGCTTGAGTTTATGGATGAAGTTGATCATGTATTCGCACATTGGAGATCGGCTGATGCGGTAGATGAAACGGCCATTTTCAAACCGGGCATATTCCGTCTGTATAGAAATACAAATAAAAAATGAATTAGATAAATAACTCTTGCCATATCAATAATATTGAGAGTTAATAAGAGATGTATTTTGTATCCTTGTATGATGTTCAGTGATGCCATTGTGTTGTAGAGAAACTTTAACAAAGAATATACAGTATATTTACTACTACATTGACTGTATTGAAGAAAAAAAAACTTTTTGGTTTATTTAGTTTTAACAACAAAATACACACACACACACACACACACACACAAGAACAACACTGAATTGTCAACAACAAAATTAGCTGCATGATAAAAAAGCCCCCCATGTTTAGTCCAGACTCCGGGCACCAGCAGGAGGCTCACTAACGACCCGAAGGACAAGATTACAGAACACGTGTAAGACTCAGAACAGGCTGAAGGGGACATATCTCCCATCTGGCCTGGGAATACCTTGGGACGCCTCTGTTTAAACTGCTACCCACGCGACCTGGCAACGGATACGGCGGAAGAAAATGGATGGATGGACGACGCAAGTCTAAAACTATGAATATTATGTAAATATATTATACTCCCTAACAATGATAGTAACTTCTTCTCAAAAAGCAAAACCCAGGAAATCAGAAATCCAAATATCCCCAAATGCCTCATGGGCTTCAGAATGATGGTGGAAGGATTGCCATGGCGATTCACAACAAATGGTCATACCTCGACTTTCTCCACCACCTGTTTGCCGAATGAGCAGACTTTAGTGGAACATGTTATGGTCATGTTCTCGGAGCTTTCGTATTGACTCGTGACACCATAAAAAAATCCTGTTTCATCCTGGATGTTGCAGTTTAAATCAGCCTGTCGATCAGAGAGAAAAGCAAAAGCATCATTATTTTATTGATGTGACCTATTCAAAATGTACTTGACACACACACACACACACACACACACACACACACACACACACTCAGTGATTCTGCTCACGAGTCGCGACCCACCAAACCCAAAAACATATAGAAACATTTCAATATTTCAACAGATGATGCGAATTAGCAAACATAGGTGCAAATGGAGCCATCTCTTCAATGCACAGTAGGTGGACATCGGTTGGAAGGTATCTGGTTTCAGAAAATATTCTGATTAATGCTTATAATTAATGGCTGATTTTAAGAAGTAAACGTGAGTTACTTTTAAAAATGTGAAGTGAGAGAGAAAGAATGTTTTTGCAATGTACCACCTGCTTCCTGATTAGATGGAATGAATTAAAATCCTTGAAAACACAGGGCCAAAAATATGCATTCTTTTCTAAATGAAATACTTTTGAAGTTCTGGTCTGGTGTAGCCTGGCCTTAGCCATCCGTACACTCCGATCAATCATCATTTCCCTGCATGTAACGTCTGGGTCTGGTCCCTGTTTTTGCGATTACAATCGGTTGAATTCCATCCGACCAATCAGCGAGCGGGGGAGGCGGGTGTTGTAGTTAGTTGTGGGTGACGTCAAGAGTTTGCGTCGAGAGTTTGGCAATGGCGAAAAATGCAATAGTAAAGTATTCCGCTCTGGTTCTATCAAGAAATTGAAGCCGGAACAGGAGGAATGTTTAGCAAATGTAAATTGCTGGTAAAGATTGTGGCACTACTCCCCACGGGCTCTGTTAGCGGCAAAGGAGATGGCTAGGCTAAATGCTAAATGCTAACGACTCACTCGGGCGCATTACATACGTCACGGTAAACTCAGATCCAATCGTTTCAATTTGCAAAAGGAGTTAACCCCTCCCACCTGTAAACGGAGCTCAATGGAGCACCTCCAGACCTTAGTATGAAATGAAATTTGTACTATGGTGTGGTACGACCAGGCTAGGTCCGGTGTGGCCCTTTGCCATTCATTCTCTATTTTATAAGGGAGTTAGACATTGTAGTCATCCGATTGTTCACTACCTGTTTTAATCTGTTTTAATCTGGAGATCTGTGCGCGGTGAATCCCTGTTAGATTTCTGCACCACGTTAACCCGACCCTCGCCGATGTCAGAGGGACCCAGTCTGGAGAAAACGCACCAGTGTGGAGTTATATTTGTCCCAATATCAAAGAGAATGATAAAGCTCTGAGAGTGAAAAATACTCAAGTCGGTTACAAAACATTTCATTTTATTCCTCTCTCAAAGTCCTGATTGCATTTGCTTTGTGTTAAAAGAAAACATGTTATTTATCTTTCAAAATTTTTCCTACAGTTCAGACCATGTCCGTGAGGGGTGCCATTCTGTTGTCTGTGGCTGTCACATCTGGTTTACAAAAACAAAAACAATGCTCATGTTTTTTCTGATAATGAATGTGTGTGTATAAATATATATATACTCACACGTCTAGGTCGATGCATCTCTTTTTATTTGGTAAAAATGATTTGGATATCGATTACTATTTTTGAATGTAATAATAGTTAGTAGAAAGAAGTGATGCATGACCGTGTCAGAGATGGAAAATGGTGTTAAACGTTGAAATGTTGAAAGACTGAATCACAAGGTTGAGCGGCTCTATTGGGAGAGCGTGTCCTCCGTCTGCCCTGCACATCCGCTTCATTACGATCACAAAAAAGACCTCATCCTTCTACTTCATTAACCTCCGCAGTTATACATTCATTATTGTGGAGATTTGGCCTTTCATTTGAATTTTAGATCTGCCGGTCCCTTCAAAAAGATTTCGAGTGGACTTGGCCGAAGAACACAGTACCCTTACTTTGTTGCTCACCGCTAGTTAGCATTTTGTACCAGATCGAGAAATACGAGCGGTGTTTAGAGTCCATTGAATGTCCATAACCGGGTCACACCATTGTTCCGACATATTGAATTAGTGAGTGCGCTGATCAAACGCTCCTCTGCTCTTCCTGTCTAAATATAGCAATAGTAGTCATAAACAATTCGTCTTCAGTGTGTATAATGAAGAGAAAAATCAATTTTCCATAAACTAATTACATTTTAAGAGTTTGTGAATCAGCTTTTCAGTTTGAGGCTTTAGATTAGATTTAGACTGCGTTGGTTTGGTGCTGGCTACCCACAGTCTGATTCTTATTAAATAGACTGGCTCATGACTTGTGGTTCGAGAATGCTTACCCAAAATTTTATAAGGAAAAAGGAATTCTGGGGACCCTTTCCGTACAGTTCCTTTAGTCCTCCTTTTTTCTCTGGAAATTTGTCGTAAATCTGCCGAACGTCCACAGATTCCAGGAGAGCATCGCTGTAGGAGTGATTTGTCTGACCAATATGTACAAATAAATGTTTGTTGTACTGCAAAAGATAAAAAGTACAATTTTAGTTTTCATCATATTTCTGCGTTTTACTGTTTTATGTGATTCACACATGTTTTTTTTGCATTTTAGATCAAACCTAAAAAGACTGAAAACAATGTAGTTCAACTATATTAATGATTATAATTGTGGAGGTATTGGTGCGTTTCTTACAGAATCTGGGTCTCTCTGTTGTTCTAGAAAAGCAGAGAACTCCACCAGTCGCAGTTTGGACGTCCCGATAGAGCGCCCCTGCCAGGCCGCAGCAGGAGCCTGGGCCCCTAAGGGTTCGTAACCTAAAACAACACGACAGTACTTTCAATCCAAATCAATTGTTGATAGTGAAATTCATTTAAGTCTCACCTGAAATGGCAGAAGTAACTGTTGGCTGGATTGGATAGGCTTGTTGTGAAAATGGTTTAATGCTGTAAAATAGAAAACATGAAAAAGTAGTGAATAAAAAACGAATAATGTTGTTTTAGAGAAATTCCCATTTTTTTATATATTAACGATAATAATAATGTTGCTGTTTTTTACTATTATATTGTACCTAATTAAACATGACATTGGATTAGCATGATATCTTAATTTTATTTAGTGCAGATGCAGAAACACCTTGATTTGCCAGACTTACTCTTGTGAGGATCCTGGCTGTCCAGCTGAGATCATGCCCTGCCATAACTGTGGGGAGAGTTATCGTCAAAGACCAAACGAACAAAGATGATCTGTGTCCAAATGTACATGTGTTAGCGGCAGATCAAAGGCTGCGAGCTCATGTTTAGTGTCGTCTTTGTATCTTTGATGGTGAGTTTATCTGATGGCGCAGCATCAGTGTGTAATGTGATTCTGTGTGGCTGGTCTGCCTGTGAGTATCGGGGGGCAATAGAGATACTCACCCCTGCCCCGGGGAAGGCAGACCGTGGGATGCCGGGCAGCCCTAGTTTGTTGTGAATGGCCGTCGCAGAGACGATCTGAGCAGACGACATAGAGGCCATGCTCTGCAGCGCTTTGTCCTTCACGGCTTGATCCTTTAACAGCAGTCACAAAAGGTTTAGCGCCGCCACCACACCAGCCACACTCAGCACATTTCACAGCAGCAGGCTCAAAGAAGTGCACCAGTGTTTAAGTGTGGCACGGTTTTTCGTAAACCACAAGAATGAAAACTGAATTCCGATTTACAAAGAATGGAAGTGGTATGCGAGTAAAAACTTAATGACGAATGTGTCACATACGTACGTCTTTCAAACTCCGAATGAAATCGTAAAGGAAAAGAATTTCTTAAGTTAGAGCGAAGGCCGCGACACTGACAAAACTTTGAGTAGTCACAACAAGTAACGATTTCACATGCCCCAAGCAAAGCCATGCATGTGCCCTGGCTGATAGTTCTGTCACCATAACACAACCACACCATGTGAATGCAGAGACATGTTGAAATAAGTCAACTTTTCTTTAACGACAAATGATCTAAAGCCGTAAAACCCCTGAAAGTCTCCTGACCATAGCAAAATAAAATACAAATAACATGACCAATGATAATAATAATATATCGTTCTAGCTATTGTGTAATGAATGGAAAGAGTAATGCTCATGACAGGCGTGCAGGCCCCAGAGTGAAACCCCCACACAAGAAGAACTGAAGAAGAAGAATGGAAGTGCAAACAGGAGACGGACGCAGACTTACCATACTGGTGATCTGAAAGAAGAAAACATCATATATTTGTTACAATGGTTTTTATCCTTTATCCAAATGAAATACATGATGATGATAATAAGTGAAGTAAACATTCGATAACATTTTTGATCATCAACTTCCATTATAATTGGTCTCCTAATTAAGAATGTTGTTTATGTGTGTTTTATTCTGCAGATATATACAAATAAATAACCAAAATCATTCAAAGTGTGACAAAAACTTGCTGTTATGTTTTAGTTTGGTTTTTTTCAGGATGTCACAAACAATATACCATGATTATCCACAATTATTGATACTTAAAAATGAACAAAAGTAATTTGAAAAGAGCTTAAATACTTAACACACAAAAACACACACACATTGAAAACAATTGAATTTGAGATGTGTTAACTATCTATTTATTCCTTACAATTACATGTGACCTACAACTTGACATACTTGGTTTGTGTAGGCTTATAAGTAAAATAATATAACTTTTTTTTTTCTCCACCTGTTCATCCACTTCTCATAATTCCTCTTATACAGCAGACAACACACAGTCTAATGTAATCCATCAAAGATTACTGGAAGCAGCGGGTCTTCCATTGACGACCTTCTAAAATGCAGGGCACTTTTGTATTCCTCTGCCACTGAAGTCTAATTTGCTTCAAATGAGAAAAGCCAGGGAGTCGTACAAAAGCCGCCTGTTTTTTCTCAGACTGAAAGAAGCAGGCATTCATGTGGTCTGCCTATCCCCTCTAAAACACACTCTCTAATGCACGTGCACGCTGATAGGAGGTCATTCATCCTGCTGAATAATGTGTGCAGGACTCTAAACGTAAAGCTGCTTTCTCTCCAAACAAGATCCATACGCTTCGATTACGACGGCTGCAGGATTTTGCCAAAACTATATTTTTTTGGGCAAACATCGCAACTAGATTTGTGATTTATGATTTTAAATGTATGATCTGTATAGGAGACTTCACACGGCTGGACAATGACACGTCAACAAAAAGCCACGACACAGGAAATTCAAACAATGAGTTCAATATCCAATTTGCAAAAGAGAGAAATCATAATCAATTGTTTTACTTAAAAAAGAAAAATGACACAGACAAGCAAATATTATTTTACAACAGCCAATAGATACATAGAAACGTATTAGTAAGGGAGCTACGACTTCATTCATGTTATTATTATTTTTGTATAATTATTTGCAGCAGGCATCCGACTTCCGTTTGTTGTTTCCAATTTCCACTGTGCAACTGTCAAATAAACCATTTCAAGTCAATTCCGATTAATCTCGGAGCCCTAGTTAGTCTTCTGTAACACGGTATATAAATACCTCAAATTACAGGTCAATATTATTCAAGATTACCCTTTCTTTCACAAGGCCCCAAGTCTTAATGTGCCACTCTCAAACGCTTTTCTTCCTCTCAAATGTTTTTTTTTTTTTTTCCCTTGAATTTTATAGCTGAGAAGAACGCCCCGAAATTACAACATTTGAATCAGGAGGAAGGAAAGGCAGCGACAGCCATGGCGTTGCACAAAGCCAGAATGAACAGCATGCTTCAGGAGAGACGTATAAAGCGGTTTTGAAGCAGCCAGGGCTCTGAATGCGTCTGCTTCAGCGGCTTTGACAGCGAGGAGATAGTTGGGGTTTCTGTGTTCAAAGGAGGTTAAGGGGTGATCTCTCTCTTCTTAACACAAACCCTTTTATTTTTAATTTAACTAATATTCAGCTCTGAGCCAAGATAGCATGCTAACTAAATGTGCCTTTTGGCCGTCATTGAACGGTGGAAATAAAGGGTTGCAACTAGGGTGGCTATCTTTCAGAGCCGCCCGACGATACAACACGCATGACATACATATCTAGTTATACCAGTAGATACAGGGCACTTTCAATTCAATATAGTTTGAAAAGATTCAGTATCTAGAGCTCTGCCCCATCAATAAAAGAAATAACAGAAGAAGAAAAATGTACTCTTTGTCTCTATGGGTCTTTATTACTTTTCTCTCTCTATATATAATGAACTATCAAGATATATTTTAATGAAAAAAATAAAATGAAACAAAAAATATAGATATTTTTTCGAATTATTTTTATTCAAATGTTGTATCATTTGTTTTAGTACACTCCAAGCTGCACTAATGAGTACTTTGAAAGAGGATGAAGCAAGCACGTATCCTTTCAATTAGTCATTTAGAAGTAAATGTGCAATAATATCTAAACTGATAACTCTGAAGTCAGACAAAACTGAAAAACTATCTGTGTATCTATTTGACTTGTGCACACTGGGGACTTTTGCAAAATATTTCCAATAGAGTTTTAATGCAAAGGGCAAAAAAATTTAATGTGTGAATCTGAAAATATGCTTTGCAGTGCATTCAAGTTTTGAAGTCTGCTTATTGACCCAATAACATCCTCATCCGGAAGCATGTGTCTGCAGTGTCTTATTCTGTGTGATTCCATAAACAATTGTTGGAAAAGCCATACATCCGTCGCCAAGATGCACACACAGCTGTCTTTGTTTACTAACACTGAACACACAACAATTCATTCTAAAATAGTTGCAGATAATGTCAGAAGGTCCGGTCTGTAGATAAGATAAGATCAAATTTCAATCAGGGTGTGCAAAAAGACAGGAAGTGTGCAAACATGCAAAAATGTTAAATATAGTCTTTTTTGTGTAAGATATAGGAGAGCGATACA